CACACACACACACTTCTGTTGTAGATGGTAGGAAAACAGTTATTTTGGTGTAGTATGAAAGATTTATTCAGTAGGACAAGCTGTAAAATCTATGAAAACATTTTCCGAAGACTTAATATCTTAAAGTTGATATTTTGAGGTAAACAAGCAAACCTTTTGTTTGACAGTCACCTCTCATCCCCACTATCCCCTGCATCTGGATAGTGTAGTGGTAAGACTAGACACCTTTGGAGTGAGAGTCGTTCGTTTTCCCCACCCGGTATCCAGTAAGGGTCCTGGCTAGACCGCGGCTATGTCTACAGCCTGTCTGCAGCTCGGACACAAGCATTTCACTACATGTTGTGCTCTGTATGAATGTGTATGTGACAAATAAAGGTTTGTTTGTTCTAAAGCAGGAGCTGGAAAGATGTTGACCTGTTAAGTTCTCTTAACAAAGAAATCCAATAAGCCCACAGTGGTAAAGATAAAAACGAGCTCATGTCACCCAGTTAAGTTCAAAGACATGTTACAAAGTTCTATATCATTCATGTTCAACCCTCATGAACTTCGGCACACGCTAACTGTCGATTTTTATTTTGACTAAAGATTTCAGGTCAGCTGTTTGAGGTGATGTCTTCCTAAACAGTTCATTATCTTTTTGGTTCACCCCGATGTGCAAACCTGACAGTGCACTCTCTGGTATTGTGGGGAGGTATTTCTGCTGCTGCTGAAGCCACAGCACTCCAGATGGTGGTAAAACCTGCAAAACAACAGTGGAGGCCTCACATTGCATCACTCGGGACTCTGTATTTGATCAGATGAATAGACTGCAGATCATACCTGTTTAAACGCAGCTCCTTGTCTATTTCCTCCAGAGTCTTCCCTTTTGTCTCTGGCAGCATGAAGTAGAAGAACACTGCAGCTGCCACAGCAGTCAGCCCATACACAAGAAACATCCCTGACAGTCCAATCATATCTGCAGAATTAAAACACATTTCTTTTTGCTACCATGTTCAAAAAAATATTTACACTGTGGGTCTTCATATGTTTTTAAAGATCCCCTCTCGTACTAAAGCAATTATTTAAAAAGAACAATCTTTCATTTTAAAAATCCTAAATGTTCAATAACTATTTGGACATACACAGGCTGCCATTACTTTGTGTGTTGGGTTCTAGGTTAATGACATACAATTAGAGCCATACGTTTTTGAATAATGAAAATAAAGAAAAACCAATTTGCTTCTGTAAATCACAACAGTGGATTTTAAATCAAACAAGTAATCTTAACTGTTAAACTTAAATTCTGCATTTATAGATTTAATATTTTGCATTTTTTGATTATTCATTATCAAAAAAATATTAAATTATTTCGTGCAACACATTTAACTTCAAACTGGAGATCTTTTATTTTGGTATACTATTAACTCAAGTCAAGGTTGGGTTCATTTAAAAGTCAACATTATAGCTATCTTACTTTTAAAAACAAAAAGTATAATTCTCCATATTTCACACTTTCAGTCTCCATTCAGTTATAAACAAGTCACTCTGAATTTTCACATAATTAACAGTTAACAAGCTTTCAAGCAGCTTTCAACTTTTATCTGCCAGCATGACAGCGATCACAAATTCTCATCTCAAGAAGCACAAATAATTGTAGTATTCGAGTATTATCCACAGCCAGAAGCAAAGCTGATAAAAACTGGAAGTGGGAATGAGAGAGTAACTTGCTTTACAATACTACCCATGATAACAGTGGTATCTTGATGCATGCTCAATCATCCAGGTAAGTAAATCCCAAAAAGGTTGATTCAGTTCATCTGGACGTAGCGTTTCCAATGGGAGAGACGTTTCGTCACTCATCCAAGTGACTTCTTCAGTCTTCTGACTGCAGGTTTCGCCATTCTTATAAACAATGACTGAAACCAGCACTACTGAATAAACAATGGGCTGTGAGGTCAGTTCCTTGATCATTAATGATGTAAGAACATCACATCAAGAAGGCCCTGAGTAAACGTGGTTATCCTT